AGGAGGCCAAGAGACAACGCACTCAAAGCCCTGCTCTCACCACACCGGAAGCTGGTGAGTCTACGAAGCTGGTGAGTCTACGCACGGCTGAAGAAGGACAACTACAATCTAGATATATATAGACTCTTATATTGTGTCATACTGTTAAGAGATGCCTTTACAAATTGCTGTGACCCCTTAGCTAAAAATTTAAACAATGAATCAAGGATTTGATTCTACCTAAGATCAGTGGGGATTGTAAGACTTGAATAGGCTAAAGTGACTCCATGCTAATAGGCCAGACTGTGCTTCTTCATATGCTAATTGCTACCTTGGTTAACAGCCCGCCCAGGGGCAAATGGTTTGACAAAAGGTGACCCTAGAACATTTCCTGCATAAGATAAGCAATGTGTTTGCAGTCTTGTTCTGTGAATTCCCTGACTCTTTGTTTAGAAAAACCTTATAAAAAGTACCTCAGCCCCTGAGCAGTTGCCTCTCTGAGCCACCTGGCTCTGGGAGTGCCGTCTGGCCAGACTAATAAAGGTCTTTTACCATCTAGGCTGGTGTGTTCCTTCCTGGGTTTCTCGGTTCTCTGTCGTGTTCGCGGAGCCTCGCTGGGTGTTAGGGCCCAGCATCGTGGAGGCCTTTTTGGCTGTTCACGCTCCGTGGAGTGGAAGTGAGACTTTAGGTCTTACAAAGAGGCTTTTTTAATAGCATCTTTTCGTGGGCTTCTGAGGGAGTAGGGCAAAGAAACAACCAGATGACATGTCTTCTGTGTACTTCATATCCTGGTGACATGTCCTCAGGGGATCCTGAGTAAACTACTGACAGGCTTCAGGAACCTGCTTCTGGCCTGCTGATATGTCCTGTGACGTAAGTAAAAAGAAACCTACATTTCTCTAAGGTATCAGGTGGGCTTGTTTGAACTAGTGGTAGCCTTGTCCCGTCTCTATCACATCCCCACCAACAACCACCACCATACACTGATAGACATACACATTCTCTCTTCTTTGTATTTCTTTGAGTGTGTACTAAAAAAAATCTCTGCCTAACAAAGCTTTCCTGAGCTTATTTGTTTTGTTTTGAGGCAAGGTCTCTGTTTGTACTTCAGGCTGGCCCTGGACTCACTATGCAGTCCAGGCTGGCCTCAAACTTGTGACGATCCTCCTACGTCAGCCTCCCAAACGCTGGGATTACACTTGTACACCACAGTGCCTAACTCTTCCTGAACTTCTTACCGATGTGGCCTGAAAATGCTTTTTCTGTAACAGGAGTCATCAAATCTACAAACTTATTCAACAAGAAGGGCAGTGTAGGATCTTTATCTCAGCCTCGGGAACCTCTTCAGACCCGGTCTGGTGGCAGGCTTGGGTTCAATCCGCACTATGGCCAAAAGAAAAACAAAGAAAGCAAACACCACAACACTCTTATAGGTGTATAGAAACAATCCAACTCACATTTGCAAGACACGTCAAAAGCACGTACAGAATTCATACAAATTCTTAAAACACTGGAAGGAGAGAGGAACTCAGAAGCTGGCAGGTGGAAAGTGCTCCGGCCTTAGGTGATTACAGCAAAACATCTGGGGGTGCTGGGGACCAACAGCAAACAGCCTGGACTTGCAAGCTGGGATGGACTGGCTTCACACCCATCCCGACACTGACAGGAGCCATGGCTGAGGCCCCCTACTGGCCAGACGGTGCCTCCCAGAGCAGACTGTGTACTAGCCTGGCAGAAAGGAAAAGGGCAATTAGGCCTTGCAGGCTTCCGCGAGCAAGGGAGTCTGGGGCTCCGGAGGGAGCAGGGGGAATTCTAATGTCCTGAGAGGCCAAAGGTCCCTTAAGGAGTCACCGAGGCCAAGGGACTCTACCGAAAAAGGGACCAGAGTCCAAGTGGCTGAGCACAGCCTGCAGGGCCTGGGAGAATGCCTGCTCTCACACAGAGGACTGCCCTTCCCACGGCGCCCCAGGGACCACTGCTTGCTGCCTGATGGGCGGCCTCTCTTCCAAGACCCAGAATAGCTACAGCCCGGGCCCAGCCCAAACCCGGAGAACCAGACCCCAAACCCATAACCCTCTGCGGAATATCGGTTCCCGATTTTACCAAAGACCAAGAGAAGGGATTTTCAGTTATTGGGAACACAGAACAGAGACAGGGGTCAGAGAGCTGAGTCAGGCAAAGATGGAACCGAGAAAGGGGGCGCTAGTCACAGCACAAAGGAGAAAGGCGCAGACTGAGGACCAAGACCCAGCGACCCCAACGGGTAGGCAGAACCAGCGACAGGGACAAGGCGAATGACGAGGCACAGGCAGGGTCGGTACAGGCTAGGAATCCATCAGTCAGAGGCTGGACTGAGGCACAGGATGATCCAGGCTGTGCTGCAGGCCAGAGCATAGGTGAGCGGGGCACGCAGGAGGCCG